CAAATTTTCTGTCCCAAGGGCAAGGGTTGCGAATGTTAAATGTATTTAAAGTTGTAATTCATATAGAAATATTCTTGTTTTAAGGAATTTAAGATCCACTTAGACGGAACTGTAAATACAATAACTTTGTTTGAAGCTACTAATTAAAAACGTTTTCACCAATTATTGTTTGTAGTTGCTAATGTTTGTTAATATTTTACTTTTGTTCATTATGTACATAAATGAAGATTAATTGCAACGTATTACTTTGTGCAGTATTCAGTAGTGTAGTTGTTGAAATATCTATTACATTGAAATAAGATACAGTATTTAGTTTGATTTATCGTCCATCCTCTGCCCTCCTCTATACTGTGTCAAATGGGCCACTTGTTACATCGCGCGTTAAAACGGGACGTCCCGATTAAATAACGGCTAGCTTAACCCATAAACATCGAAATAAAAGTTAATTTCACTCGTAAAATATCGTTAATGTGTACAAATGGGAACAAAGCGGGACAATTGCGATATATTGGGCTCTACGCGTCTCTCTTACGGCTCTAAAAGTAGGCTTAAGTAAGTGATTTATAAAAATTACTTTGAAGTAGTTGGTAGAGACCTAAAGTTTTAAGGATTTGTCACACTAGATGCGGTCTGCGGCCAAATAAAATACAGTCCGCATCGTTCGTTTCAGCTGAAAGACGACCACTGCTGGACAAAGGCCACCCCCAAGGATTTCCACAAAGACCGGTCCTGCGCCGGTCGTATCCAGGCACCTCTCGCGACCTTCACCAGATCGTCGGGCCACTTAGTGGGAGGCCTGCCCACGCTACATCTTCCGGCTCGTGGTCGCCACTCAAGAGTTTTCCTGCCCCAGCGGCCATCAGCTCTACGAGCTATGTGCCCCGCCCACTGCCACTTGATTTTAGCGATTCTGCTGGCTATGTCAGTCACTTTGGTTCTCCTGCAGATCTATCTCCTCATTTTTGATTCGATCACGCAGGGAAACTCCCAGCATAGCACGCTCCATCCGGATAATGTATGATTACTTTGAACTGATCGCTGATCGCAGACCGCATTTAGTGTGGCAAATCCTTTAGCGAAGCGATGTCTGGTTTTAGTTGACATTTGGAGATCATTGATTGAATTGACAATTGAGTGTAAATTAATAAAGATGTTTATTTCAATTCGGAATCAACGACCGAAACACACGCTATCCAAACATCAAATTAAATGTACACCCGTAAAAAAATATCTGCTTGAATTACTTAAAAACAACAATGAGAACAAAATGTAGGTATAATCAAATAGTAATTACAAACGAACGTAGAAAATTGTATTTATATTATTTTGTAATTTAATTAATTAATTACGTGTCTACTAAATTAACAATAATAAATATGTACGAGTAGTTTACGTACCGGAAAATATTGAGAAGGAAATGTTTACTTACATTTATTTTTTTCTGAATAAATACTCTGAAACCCAATATTATTTATTCTAACTAAACAAAAATAACATTTCCAATTTCATTATGAAAGTAATTAATAATAAGTAATGAATATTATTAAGATGGATCATCATCATCATTTCAGCCACAGGACGTCCACTGCCGAACAGCCCTCCCCCAATGATTTCCATATCGCGCGGTTGGTAGCGGCCTGCATCCAGCGCCTTCCTGGTTTATGATAAAGATGGATGCTAGTTAGCATTACGTCAAATCTTTGAAAAACACTAAGCGCCGTGTGTCACGATTTGGCGCTCTTACTTGGCGCCACCGCGTTGCAAGCCAAGCGTTTGCATAACAAGCGCACTATCCTCTCCGACCCACAACATGTCAAACAGAAATACAACAGTGATTTCGGCAAGAAATGTGTTTGTATTTCGGATCACTGGCGAGACGCCAACTTGCACCCAAACGCACCACGATTGGGAAAGTTCTTGCGAAAGTATGCGGCATTTCGGGGATACTTTGGGAGAAAAAAGATATGTGGCAATAAAAAATAAGTGGATGCAATGTAAAAATATTTTTCTGGGCTAACTGTAAACAAGATGGTAATGGTACAGTTCTATCCACAACAGCACTATACATTTTTTTTGCAAAATACATAAAATGCCACTGTGTACACATATTCAGGGAATGTATCATGAATAGAGTCTTAGTTTAAAAGGATGATAACGATTTAAATGGCACCCCGTATAAATGAAGAGACGGTGAAAAGGCAACTTTAGCCCGACATTATGGCACTGTCTTCTTATAGTTAGTGTATAAGTATTGCAACAAAAATTCTTGCGACTATAACTACCTAATACTGAATCAATGTTAATTATTTTGCAATTCGCGAACCTACTTAGATTTTGCATTCAAGTTCAATTTCATTCTAAGGCTGGGTTGCACCATCTTACTTTAACTTTAACTAACGTCAAAAGTCTGTCAGGCTACATACAAAAAACACCGGTTATGGTTATAGTCATGGTTAAAATAAGGTGGTGCAACTCAGCCTAACGATGTTTTTTTGTCCAATATTTATTTTGTGACTATCAAAAAGTTTCTACCTATTACGGGACTATTCCCACCTCTCTTTCTCAGCGCTGCAAGTTCTGTGTAGCCAGGATCTACAGCTTGACCGCCAATAAAAACCCAACCAGTGACGGTCAAGTTTGTCCCGGGGGAAAGTTAAACTATCATTGGACCCGCAACGAAATTAATCAGAAGAACATTTCTACCTGTTATCCACTTATATGATCTTTCCTTTATTATTAAAGATAAAAAGATCTCACTAATTAGCCCCACAGCCTGGCGCCTGACTGATGGCTGACCGGCTCGTTTGTCACGTCTGACCTGACAGATCCCCCTTTGATTATTAGCTACCGGCAGATTTGCGCTGATGGCTTTCTGATATGTTGTGAATGGCACGTTAGTGCAATATAAGGAGATGATTGGTTGACAAAATAATGGAAAAAAGAATGACGTAGTAAAACAAGAGGTCTTTGGACATTTATCGTCCACTTGTGACATCTTGAATTATTTTATAGTTGGAGATGTCACACTGTTGTCTCAAGAGTACGTTATGTTTTTCTCGATACATTGTTAAGGACCAAGTACTTATTAACCTGGAAACGGATCGTAACCGTAACAACTTGAGGCGGTCAGTATTATTTGTATGAAACTACGTACTGCAACGTACACTTATCCGCACCGTAACGTAAACGCCTCGCCTTGCGACGCAAGGCGATACGGTGTTGATCCCTTTCCGGGTTGATAAGTGTGCTATGACCTTTCGGGTCCAAAAAATAAGAAGACTTCTTTTATAGGCTACCTACTTGTTTTACGTTCTTAAAAGCGGAATAAATGTAAGAGTCGATTTTGAAATGTCAAGTGGCAAAAATCAAAAACTAACAACCCAGTATTGACAATAGCTTCCTCCCTCTGCAGCGTCACAATTAAGTATTTTATGTTTGCCGCACTATAATCGGAACTAATAATCCAGGATAGATACAGCGCCCTCATGTCAATGTTATAGCTGGGACGGTTCAGTGAAGAATCTATAGTAACGTTCGTAAGGCGGTTATAACACTGCGCCGCGCTCCGTCGCGGAGCGCGGCGCACTGGACAGATTTAATCATTGTATGCAAGTACCTCAGTTTGTTTAAAAAACACGCGCGGCACTTCACACTGACAACGCGTCCGCGCGCGTGATTTTTTATATGAAAATCGCGGAGCGCGGCGCAGTGTGATAACCGCCTAATATTAGTAATGTTCGTAAACAAAACAACGGGTCTTTAAAAAATCGAACAAAAGATCTTACAAAACGCAAACCAGCAAAGGCATTACAACTAAACTGCCTAGTTTTGGGGCTCCTTCGATAATCCTGCAGACAAAAGGGAACGTTCGAGTGTGATGAAATCCCCGATCGGCCGGCTGACCAGGATTGCTAAATCGCTTATGAAGAAAACGGTTTTTGATACCTTTAGATGGTCGCATTAAAAGTGACATAACTCAGTTTTTACAAATAAAATATTTTGCGATAATTAGCAACAAAGTTTTCAAACTTCATTTGTTTGTACACCGAAGACTACTTTCTGCGTTCTAAACGTAGTAACTTACTTAGTTAAAACGGTGAAAATAATACATTTATGTAGAAAAATCGATTAGTAGCATGCGTTATAATTATCACAGTCACACATTCATGAGTTATCACAGGAGTCACAGGACTCTATCCTTGCTTGATGCCATTATCTGTACATTTTCAATATAAAGCGTTTGAATGCGTTAGATTCAATATGATTCCTCCCATGTATTTTGAAACATATTGAGACAGAAGTAAGTAAAAACATTTTTTCCATTCTTGAACTTCGATTCCAAATTTGAACGCATTTTAAGTTATTGTGAGTTGTGCGGTTTTACGCATAGCCCGCAAATACCTTCAAAGGGATCGAATCAGCTGGCGCGTATTGCAGCTTTGGACGTGATTTCAAATACCGTTTGTGGTTAGTAATCGCCGTATTATCAATGCCAGCAATAAACATTCACGTTGTTTTGAGGGAAACGCGTTATGAATTCTTCCTGAAGTTTTTTTGTGAAACGAAACGTATTTTCTTTTGTCGATTAGTTGTGCGAAACAAACAGCTGTCAATTATTTTTTGTAAATATGTACAGTTATATTGACAGCACAGCCTAATAAGTACTTACACGCTTTCATTTATGTTTTTGTTTTGTCTCTTTTCATTTTATAAGGTTATTTTTTTAAGTTTCTTTTCAATTTAAAGTCTGTATTGACTACAAGCTCCACACCAGTGTGGCAATAGCTTTACGCCCGTATTCACAAACGATGCTTGCTTAAGTGAAGCAGCAAATCGAACGCACAGCGTTGAATAGAGCTCTGTGATTGGTTCACCCTGTGCGTCCACACGCGCACTGTAAGACCTCTTAGTAATGTTTGTGAATTGTGAATATTCACACAGAGCGGTCCGTTTAATCGTAATACGTTTTATTTAGCTATGACGTAGTTGTACGAGTGAATTTACACAATATTCTTGATTCCGAAAAAAACTTCGTCCTCACTTAACAAAGAATTATCACTTACCAATTCCTCTGGTGATCCCGGTTCCTTCATACCATTGCTCTTATCCGTGCTCCCCGTCTCTGTAAAGAAGAAATTTTCATTTAATTATGACGTCACAAATCAACTTTGAGTAGAACATGCACTGAGCAAAAAATAATTGAAAATACCGATTTTGTTAACCAGTTCACAAAATATCACTTCTGGACTTTTAAGCACTAAATATTTACATATTTATTTATCCACGTAACTGCTAGTCTGCGATATACCTACTAGTTTTCAATCAGGGTTTTATAACAATGTAATTAACTCCACCTATTTCTAATATTGACATTCTAATATTGCTCCCATACGGACTATATTTGGGTGACGGATTTAACCCCTTCACTTCTGAGAACCGTCCAAAATTACTCTATTTGTAGTGTACCAAAAATAAATTGAAAATCAAATTGCCCTCGTAATACCGCGTCATGTGTCTAAAACAGGCATCCAGGTGCTAACAAGCCTCCATTCATGAACTGATTGTGTGTATGTGAGTGTGTGTGTGTGTGTGTTGTGACGCAATCAGCACCCCTTCAACGCTGAATCGAAGCAAATTGAGCTCATACTGATAACTTTAAATTAAACCGTTTTAAACTGGAAAATCCTATTTTAACGCCGTCAATTCTGCATTCGAATTTTGAATCAACGCTTTTTTAATAGGATCCATAGATAAAGGAATCATTTAAATGTCAATTAAGTAATTTATATTATTTTAACTTGAATGTTATGAATGGCAATAGATTTAGCATTTCAATTTTAATAATAATTATATCATAAAACTTGAGAATAGTAAAAATTTGTAGAGCGTGAAGTAAAATTTGCAGAAAGAAATGCTTTGTAATTGAGGTCATTAAAATTTGCGCACCACGTGTTAACCTAGTAAAAAATACATTGTGTAGGTAGTACTATAACATTCTTTCAATCACGCAAGACTACGACAGTTTTCCTACACAAAATTACCTCTACAAAAAGACTCAATTGTCAATTTGAGTATAGAATATGACCTTAAACCATACATAACAAATAACTAGACGTGATTAGGTATTACTAGACTAGTTACAGACTACGCCTGACATAACAAATTGCATTCACGCGGCCGGCGGAAACATCATTAATTTTAATTGATTATAGTAGGGAATTTAGTGCAATGATTTGTATGGAGACCCCTCCACTTTGGTATAGAAGGCTCATTTTTGCAACAGTGGTTCTTTGGGTGCTCCTGAGTGGATTTCCGTCGGTAGACATCGGGAGCCCCCCCTGTGGTAGCAGGGGGAGGGGGGGCAAGTTTCCTTCCGCCGCGCTTCACTTTAAGGCCCATATCTTCAAAACTATGGGTATTAGGGCAAGTGTGGTATCATTTTCGGATAATTAAAGGATGGCGAATTCATTTCTAGAACAAATTTTTTGCCTTTTCATACAAAAAAATTGAAATAATGAGTAAAATTTACAAAAACCAAAAAGTATTTTTTAAATAAACGTTTACTTTTAAACCACTGGAGATAATCTAATAAAAAAAATATGACCAGAAAGCTACATTTATCAGGATTATAAAAATATAACATTGTATGGTACTTTTTTCGCAAAAAGTAGGTGAAAAAATTTTTTTCTTCAGGACAAAGCGGGCTAATATTATTGCGCATCGGAAAAAAATATTTATTTTATCCATGAATTCATACTATTTGGTTCATNTGTATCCCAAGCAGGTAAAAGGGCGTAGGGCGGGCAGTTGTCTCGTGGTCGTGTCGTGTAGGTAGATACTCGATGGTTAACCGGTTATCGGGTCGGTATGTTCTGGATTCCTTTATCACTCAATAGGACGTCTAATTGCGTGTTGGTGATGAGAGTCCAGGGTGTAATTTCACGTTCGGGGTCACCAATTTGGGGTTTCATGCGGTGGCGTTCCCCCAAGCCAAATGAAACACCGGTTAGCGTTAAGACGATGTGTAATCGGTTATCGTTGTACACGTTGTACACAACACAAAATATCACTCTAAACACAGTTTGGTAATCAGCGTAAACATTGCATGTATCACAAACAGCATACGGTATGATTAACTTATGTGCAATTACAATAGTTCGTGGAACGACCAAAAGTAGCTCCGAGTGAGCGGGAAAATGTGAAGTCCCGTTCCGTCAATTTTGACAGCTTGTGTCAGTGATGCGTTCAGAAATCCGAACGCCACACCATATTAATAATTTCGTCAAGGGGTACGGTAGACTGGATCGAAACCTTATATGAATAACAAAGCATAAAAAAATATCGATTTTGAGTCGACAACATATATCCGCAAAATTCGGATAATGGAGAATTTCGTTAAATTCCGATGGCACTGACAAACAATTTCAAACAAACCGCTGTCGCCATCTTTAGTAGTTCACTATCCACTCACTATGCGATCAACGCCAAAACCTTACTACCTCTTTGCTGGGTTGTCATCGATCCATAAATAAATGGAGATCAGTGCGTTTCGCGATTTTTATGATATAGCCCGACCAGGAATATAAAAACCCTCGCCATGTTGCGGAAAACTAATGGTACTAATTTCTTTTATTGGCAACAGTAACTGAAAACTTCATTGACATATTGTCACCTTGCATGTCAGTCTATTGCTGTCAAAGTGTAAACAAAGTTTATTTTAAATGTGTGCAATTGATTTTGTAAATTAAATTGCTAAAATCTTTTTATAGTCGTGTAAGAAAAGTGGTTCACAATGTGTTAAAGTATTTGTCGAAGAGAAATACTAAGGGTTCGGACAATATTTTCATTGAATAATGTTTCCGACAAAGGTTGTCAAATTGACTGACATGTTTATCGCATAGTACAGTCCACTATGAAAATTAGCTGTGGTTTGTTTCAACTACCTATTTTAAAAAAAATATCACTTTGTAAGTGTTGAATTTTATGTAATTGGGAAACAAGTACCGAGTTTAAAGCGTTCATCAGCAAACATTGCAGTTGAATATTCAAGTTCTGTTGATTATTGATGAATAATAAAATAAATCCTACTAGCTCGATTGATGGTTTCATTTAATTTATTTAAACCAGCTGCCTTACCTGGTATAACACCCTCAGTCTGTAGTAGCACTGCTTAACAACAGCACCAACATGCCTTTCGAATTTCAGACCGCCATCCATCCAGACACCAAGATTCCTAGCTTCATCTACTCGTTCAATGTTGGTGTTCTTCAATATAATTTCTAAAGCACAATTATTATTGATTTGGTTGACTTGATACTTTGAACCCAAAATCAAGAACTTGGTTTTATCCGGATTCAAAACTAAGTTATTTTCTTCAGACCATTCAGCTATATTTTGGAGTTCTTGGTTAATTTTACATACGGCTTCGCTGGTTTCCGACGGTTTAAAAGAAATATGTATTTGCAAGTCATCTGCGTATAAATGATGTTTAGTATGTACTATTGTTTGTGGCAGGTCAGCAGTATAAATAATGAAGAGTAGAGGCCCGAGTATGGAGCCCTGCGGGACACCTCTGTTTACAGGGGAAGTACTAGATACATGTCTTACACCACTACTAGATATAACTTCTACTTGTTGCGAACGATCGAATAGATAAGTAGAAAACCACTTAAGTGCAATATCATCAAATCCGTAGTATTTAAGTTTTGCGATAAGCAATTGCGTGTTAATAGTGTCGAATGCCCTGGAATAGTCTAATAGCACCAAAGCCGATCCCCGCCCTACATCCTGTCCCGCCAAAATGTCATCGACAACGTCAAGTAAAGCTGTCACCGTACTCCGTCCTTTACGGAAGCCCGACTGCTTCTCTGGTAAGATGTCATTTCTATGTAAGTACTCATTAATTTGTATGTTTACTGCCTTTTCTACTATTTTCGACATAAATGGTAAAATACTAATTGGCCTAAGATCTTTTAGCTGTGTGGGATTACTTGTTTTAGGTAGCGGTTTAACTATCGCGTTTTTCCAAGTATCTGGGAAAGTACCTGTTATAAGGGATTTATTTATGATAGCAGTAATGAGACTTAAAGTACGCGGTAGGGTTTTTAGTTGAACATAATCTTACATGACGGATTGTAGTTATTGTTACACAGTGAATAACAAATTAACAACAACATTTTCGTGTGCCGACGTAATAAAAATTTAAAATCAAAGACGCCGCCATTTCTAGTTTTGTTCGAAATTAATAAAACAGTCTTCCTTAATCGCGCTATTCTAATTAATTGAAAACAATTTCGCAGATAGTTCGTTCCTAACTGTTTAATTTTAAACATTTCAATTTTTTTGACATTTCAAATAAGTAACGAATTTATTATTTATTTAAGAAATGAGTAATTATACATTTTATAACTATTTTATTCCAAGTGAAAACTTGTATCGTAATCGCTTGAATATTTTTTCCCCTTTTTTTGCGAAATTTTAGTCGTAGCGAGATGTTATACCCTAGCCTTCTTCGATAAATGGACTATCCAATACAAAGTTATTTTGTCAAATCGAACCACCATTGCCTCACGTTGACACCACCATTACCATTGCATTAGCGTGTTCAACCAAACAATTACTCTTCCCAACTAATATTATAAATGCGAAAGTAACTCTGTCTGTCTGTCTGTCTGTCTGTTACGCTTTCCCGCTTAAACCTCGCAACCGATTTTGATGAAATTTGGCATAGAGATAGTTTGAGTCTCGGGAAAGAACATAGGATAGTTTTTATCCCGGTTTTTGAAACAGGGACGCGCGCGATAAAGTTTTTCTGTGACAGACAAAATTCCACGCGGGCGAAGCCGCGGGCGGAAAGCTAGTAGACTATATAAAATTAATAATTAAATAATATTGTGTAGATTATAAATAGGTAAGTATAAGAATCATATCTAAGCTAATGATTAATCCTCTAAAGTCATAGACTGCAGTGGAGGCAGCAACAATGTACCGACTCGGCCGACTATGAAATCGTGCGGGGCCTACGCAAATGTCATATCGGATTGTTGAGCTTATTGGCATGACGGTAAAGGTAGAGGCATACAGCGTTAATTTCTAATCATTTCTTTCTGCACTTTTTGTCTT